GTAGTCCCAGCTACTCAGGAGGTTGAGGCAGGAGAATCACTTGAACCCGGGAGGTAGAGGTTGAAGTGAGCCAAGATAGCGCTCTGCACTCCAGCCGGGGCAACAGAACAAAACTCAGTCTCGAAAAAAAAAAAAAATCTTTAGACAGAAAACAAAGTATAACATAGTCATTTATTGAACTATACATCAAAAATCAAAAAAGACGACAGAGGACAAGAAGACATAAAATGAAGTGGCAGCATGGTGGTAATGAAAATGGATATAAGTGGCCTGTCTCAAGCTATGTAAAGATTAGAATTTTTAAAAGTCAGTGTTAAGTTGTCCATAAGATCTGCTTCTGCTTCAGTGGCAGAAAGGTAATAAAAGTTTAAAAATGAATTATTGGGCCCAAATATGCCTGCTGAATTTAAATCAAAGAACAGCAGGATTAATTCTGGACACCATGGTGCTTAAAATTAAAAACTTTACGTAAGACTTGCAAGTGTATAAGGCAAAAACTGTAAAAATACATAAGAAATCAAACAAAAACATGCTTGGGTGTAAGAATATAATTTACTGTTATCAGCCTATTACAGACCCAAGTATTTAGAAAGTAAATGAGGAACTAGAAAAAAAATGGATGACACAATAAAAACAGTACATCTAATAGACTTATTTCAAATCTTGTAATGCAAAAATATGGATTACTTTTTCTTTTAAAGTATATGTACTCGGTCTATAAGCAAAAAAAAGTGATCATATGCTAAATCGTGAAGAAAACATTGATGAATACCTTATGGCAGAATTTTTATGGCTAATATTTTCAGATCAAAATGCAATGAGTTAAACATTCATATTATATGTTAAAAAGAGAAAAAACTCAAATATATAGAAACTAAAAATAACATCCTACACACTACTGTGTGTAAAACACGACAGCAAGAGAGTGAGGCAATGAAAGCAAGAAGTGAGAATGAACGGAAAACAAATCCCATCAGGAGAAAATAGAAGAAATGAAATAATACTGGCAAAAAATGGAAACGAGAAATAATGGAATGAGAAGGGGAAAAAAAGAAGAAGGCAGTGGAATGTAGGGACTACAAGCCCTTTATCTTAGGTCAGGTGAAGCTGGGTTTGCAGCTCGATTTCAATACACACAGCTCTGCAACTTTGGAACATTTAGTTCATTTCTCTGTGCCCTACTTTCTCATGTTTCCCATCTGTAAAATATAACAACTTTATATATAAGATTGTTGTAAAAATTAAATGAAAGTAAATGCCTGGTAAAGCTCACAGCACAGTGTCTGGTGAATAATGGATAAGGGCTCACTAAATCTTGAGAGGCAGAAGTGGTCATGGCTGTTGCTGTAAGAGTAGTGGTAATAGTAGTGTTACTAAAAACTAGAACTTTGAGAGGAAAACAAAACAGACAAGCTCCTGGTCAACCTTTTAACAATATCTGAATCACAGAACAGATCATTAGAAAGGAGGATATGTCATTGTAATTTCTCAGTGATCCTTATGTATTTGTTGATAAACCTATCTAAATATTTAGAACACTCATAATCTCTATCCAATACCCTACTTCTTAAGCAATAAAGAAAAATTTAATTCATCCTATTAATTTCAAATTTCCACACTTGCAGAAGAGATCATAAGGTCTCCAAATTTCATATTGATTAAAATCTACCTTAGAAAAAAAATTTGAAATCAATTCGAAGAATATATCTGATAATATTTTTATGGGCCAAGGGTAGGGGATAATTTCTTAAAGATAAGCATAGATCATAATGAAAAATATTTTTAAATCTGACTACATCAAAATTAAAATCTTTGGTATAATAAAACACAAAGTTAAATGAAAAGACTAGAAAATATATTTGTGATATCTGCAGGGACAAATAATTAATTTCCAAAATATCTAATAAATTTCAAATCAATAAAGAAAAAAAACCACTTTGGGAGGCCGAGGTGGGCAGATCATCTGAGGTCAGGAGTTTGAGACCAGTCAGGCCAACAAGGCAAAACCCCATCTTTACTAAAAATGCAAAAATTAGCTGGGTGTGGTCGTGCACGCCTGTAATCCCAGTTACTCGGGAGGCTAAGGCAGGAGAATCTCTTGAACCAGAGAGGCAGAGGTTGCAGTGAGCCAAGATCGTGCCACTGCACTCCAGCCAGGGCGACAGAGTGAGACTTCATGTCAAAAAAAAGCAAAGACAAAGACCAGGTGATTCTGAGATGAGAAAACCAGTGGTTCATAAACATGTGAAAAGGTTTTCAAGCTCACCAGTACTCAAGGAAAGGTGAATTAAACAAGGAGATAACGTTTCACACCTAGCAGGTTGGCAAAAACTAAATTTTAAATGTCAATACTGATCTTGCTGAAGCTAGGGGGAAACGGGTACTCTCATCCTCTGCTGGCTGATATTTAAATTTGAATAATAACTTTCAGAGCAAATGGACATTATCTAGGATCACTGAAAACATTCATGCTGTGACCCAGTCATTCAGTTCCAGGTCTACACTTTGGATAATCTCAGGCACATATTCTGTAAACAGACACACTCACTATGGGATTGTTTGAAACAGCAAAAAGAATTGAACTGCATTTAAATAACAATAAAGAAATACATAAATAAAATGTAGTGATAAAAGTCCAATTGTTGAATGTTCCATGCAGCATATTACTTTCAATGGAAATTTTAGGAAACACAAAAGAATGCTGTAAACCTTTCATAGATTCATATGTATGTTTGCAAAACCATAAAAGATAGACTGGAAAATATTATAATCAATTCATGACAATGATTCCCTCTGGACACCTGAGACAAGAATGACACTGGGAATGTAAAATAAGGGGGACTTCTTTTTTACTTAACTGTGATAAAATACACATAAATGCTGCCATCTTAACCACTTCTACACACACAGTTCAGTGGCATTTAGTACCTGTATGTTGTTGTGCAACCACCATCCATCTCCAGAATGCTTTCATCTAGCAAAACTGAAACTCTGTGCATATTAAGTGCTAACTTCCCATTTCACTCTCCCTCACTCCCTGGCAACCTTCATTCTTTACGTCTCTGTGAATTTGACCAGTCTGGGTAGCTTATATGAGTGAAATTATAAATATTTATTTTTTCCTGATTGGCTTACTTCACATAGCATAATGTTTTCATTGTTCATCCATGTTGTAGCATGTGTCAGAATTTTAATCCCAGCACTTTGGGAGGCCGAGGCGGGCGGATCACGAGGTCAGGAGATGGAGACCATCTTGGCTAACACGGTGAAACCCCATCTCTACTAAAAATACAAAAAATTAGCTGGGTGTGGTGGCAGGTGCCTGTAGTCCCAGCTACTCGGGAGGCTGAGGCAGGAGAATGGCGTGAACCCGAGAGGCGGAGCTTGCAGTGAGCAGAGATCGCACCACTGCACTCCAGCCTGGACGACAGAGTGAGACTCTTGTCTTTATTAAAAAAAAAAAAAAAAAAAAAAAAAAAAAAAAAAAATTTGCTTCCTTTTTAAGGCTAAATAATATTCCATGGTATCGCTATGCCACATTTCATGTATCCATTCATCCATCAGTGGACACCTGAGTTGCTTCCACCTTTTGGTTCCTGTGAGTAATGCTGCCATAAGCATGTTGTGCAAGTATTTGTTTGAGCCCCTGCTTTTAATTCTTCTGGGTATATATCTAGAAGTAGAATTAAGGGGAACTTATTTTTTTATCTTGAAATTTTCATATGTTTCAGGAAAAACGAAACAAGCCTTGAAGCAAATATACCAAGATGTTGACAACTTTCCAATTCTAGAGGTTGTACTACTTTTTTGCAGTTTTCTCCACTTTGTAGATTTCTCAAAATAAACAAATTATAATAAAGAAGAAACTCTTTTAAAAGAAATCACATAACCAGAAAGACTAGAAACTAAACCAGTCACTCTTATGTATACAAAAAAAAAAAAAATCTTCAATTACAAACTAAAGAAAATCAATAACAAATAAAAGAACGTTCTATGGACCCAATGAAGCTTATCCTGTGAATGAGAGAATGAAGCCTCAGTAGGGAGCAATCTATTAGAAGTCACTATTAGACTAAGGAAGAAAAGTCTCATGGTCATTTTAATAGATGTGAAAATCTTATTTGCTCCAGTTAGTTTGATCAATTCTAATAAAATACGCTTTGTAACATGGATAAACTCATGTTCTTTAGAAGCAGCTAAATCTGGTCTTTGGAGCCAGATGCCTGGATTCATGTCCTCTTTCTGTTAGTGACTTGGTCAGTTACCAACCTCCTTGTGCCCCATGACCCCCCTATAGCATGGAAATAATGGTTTAATGTGAGGATTGTATGAAGTTACCTATATAGAAAGAGCCTAGAACAGTGCCTGGCACACAATACTACACAGTAGACACCAATATCAGTGTTTGTGTTACTGGCATTGTTACAATAAAAATAATATTTTTAGCTCAATATCCTCAAGATTGTGCTCAAAGGTGACACTGTACCAAAAACTTTCCATTTACCTCAGGAACAAAGACTGTTGTCTACCACCATTTTTATTATAGAGTCTTGAAACAACATAAGAAAGAAAAGACAGTTAACAGTGATATAGATTAATTAGAAAGAGACAAAGTGCCATTATATGCTGATGGTATGACTGAATATCTACAAAAGCAGGGGGGTTTTTTGTTTGTTTTTTGTTTGTTTTTTAAATGCCCATGCACGTTTTATTAATAAAAACTAACCAGTGCCAAGTTAAACTAGTCAAACAATTAAAGTCTCTTTATATTCCATAAAATATTACAGAAAAGTTTGTGTTTCAATAAAAAGACTATCATTTTAGAACAGGCAGCTAATAGCAACTGTGCAGTTAATGAGTTTTATGAATAAATTTTAAAAGAGACTACTGCCTGTCCTTAAATTCCTTTTTCTTTTTATAAAAAAAAAGAACCATTAAAAATGATTGACAAATTTTGAGCTAAAAAATTGCTAAAACATTCTCTATAGTTAATTTCAATTTTATAATAGATTACAGGAAGATACTTATGAAATAAATACATTTGTTTCAGTACATGTCTTTAAATGATAGAATTACAAGTATATAAACAACTATATAATAAAATGTTTCCAAACGCTGCCTTCAAGAAATCAGGCAAATTTTACCATAAGCAATAAACCATTCCAAGCCTTTCAGATAGCCTCCATAGCCGCACCAGCGTGGCAATAAGCTTTAACCAAACAAAAACAAAGAAACAAAAGCACTTTGCAATTTGTTGCTGCAAAATAGGGAGAGAAAAGAGTGTATAAACTTGATGGAATCACAACAGTCAATATAATTTAAGGGACAATAAAGTCAATAAGGTTGATGGTGTTTATTGTTTAGAAAGCTGAATTCTGCTGTTTTGCTTGGGGCTGTTTAGAAAGTCGAATTCTGCTGTTTGCTTGGACATGGTACCACTGAACAAACTCCACAGAGTCTCACCATCTGCCAGCGGGGGCGCCGCCCAAACTCACGCAAATAAACGGCATCAGGTGATCACCATCCACAACAGGAGGGCGTTTCATTTTCATGAATGTGGATGAAATACAATTGCTTCAGAAACTCAACAAAAAATGTTCAGCGGCAAAAATGAACTCTGCACTTGAAGAAAAATAGAAAATGAAAACACAAAATCCTAAACAGTAAATAAACACTCTGCATCTGTACACTGGTATCAAAACACACATCCACAGCACGTCCTAATCCTACGGGAAACAATCCTTGCTTATCAGAGGTGCATATCTAAATTCAATAGCTTACCAATATCTCCTTGGGAGTGGGCCAAAAGGAAACAGAAAACCCACAATAAAAAAAAAAATTCTTTCCCGTAAACGTTTTCCTGAAGCTGAAATTGAAGTGGGGAGAACGTCAGTCGTCCTCCTCATTCTCGTTGAAGACATTATCCTCCTCGTCTTCCTCCCCGACTTAAGACACCAGGGTCTCCACCCTGGAGCCGCTGTACTGAGACGCATCGGGGCTTGTGGCCAGCGTCCTAGCTGCACCGTTGGTCAGGTCACTGGCAGAGAACCTCGTGCCGTTAGACGTGGAACCTGCCGTCGTGATGAACACGCCTCCAACGTTCCCTGAGCCATTTCTGTCACGTACGGCTCCAGAGCCTTTCGGACCAGACTTCTGGCCATTTTAAGGTCTTCAGCAGAGCAGCTCCCAGACTCCAGCCCGCAGGCCATGCCCATCTGCTTCAGCGCTTCTGTGTCATCGTGAATTTCAAATGTGTTGTCAAAATTAAACAGACACTCGAAATTGTCATTGTAGATGCTGCAGTCGATGATGGTCTTCTTGCTGGTGTTGATGATGTTGAAGGGCAGGTGGATGACCAAGTTGGGTGGCAGCGGCTGGCTGGCCTGCTGCTCTGAGTGCCGGTTTCTCTGCACCAGGTTCTTGAAGGCAATTTGCTGTAGAATAAGTTTTGAAGTTGAGACTGTTTCTGTTTTATTCTTTCAAGTCTCCTCTGTCTTTCCACCTCTAAGTTCTGACATTCCTGAGCTGAGTTGGTGGGCAGACCAATCCACTTGATCTCCTTTTTCTCGTTGGAGATGATGTTCATGGCCATCAGCACGTTTACGGCATCGTAGACGCGCCGTCTTATGCTGTTCTGGTCATAACCTGACTCGTTTGGTAAGATGTGGTTGTCGGCAGCACTGAACTCCGAGACCAGCTGGTCCCCCACTTCGTTGTAGGAAGTGGTTCCGTTCCTCTGAACCTTCTCGCAGACCATGGAGAAGTGTCGCAGGCCCTTGGCCATTCTTCTCTCCTTTTCTGTTGCGCTTCCCGGCAGCCCAAGGTGAGGAGTCAGAAGGCTGGCTCTGAGAGGCAAAGTGAGTGCTGGGGATGTGTGGGCTTCCTACCACCAGGGCGTTTGACGCTGCTGGTCTCTGAGGCGTACCAATTACCACTTGCTGGGCAATGTTGACATTGGACTGTCCAAAGGTTTTTGCCAAGAGCTGCTTCCCGAGCGGGTTGACGGTGGAGGGGTGAACGGCCACGAGGGACACCACGACTTTTCCGGGACTAAGGTTTTGGTCTGTGAAGACCTTGAGTTCTCGGTTGGCTTCAATAAGACCGGCATCTTTTGCCATGTTACCAGATCCGGGAAATCAATGCTACAAATGTTCACCTTCCCAGCGAAGAAAAATGATTTTTCTGGCTACCCGGTCTGGCCGCGCCGGCGGGTGCGTGGAGAGCGCACGGTGAGGGGCGCTGGGTGGCGCTGGGAGGGGCGGGGTGGCGCGGGGAGGCGCGGGCGGGGGCCTGGCCGGGCAGTCCCAGCCCTGGTGGGGTCCCAGCCCTGGGCTGATTGGGGCCAAAAGCAGGTTTTAACTGAAAACCTCCAGAATTAATTTTTTAAGTGTAGAAAATTAACCAGATACAAGATGTACACATAAATAAAATAATAATTTCCTTGCACATTACTAAAATACAAAGAAATCTAATCTAAATTATAGCAAAGTGTACAAATTATTATACTAAACATATATCTTCATGTGAGTGGCTTTATAAACAAAGCATCAAACTTTGGGACAAATTACAAGAAATTTGAATAAAAGTAAAATATAATTCATTCCTGGATGGTGCTATTCATGTTACTGTGGGATATGATGAGGTTTCTCTTCAAATAATCTGATCTATATTTTATTCTTTAATTCATAGTACCCCCTCCCTTTTTCTCCTTTTTCCCTTTTTGCCTTTGTTAGATGCCCAGGCACGCCACAGTACCAGGCATTATCAGTACCAGCTGACATCCTTTCCTTATCTGAGAAGAGGACTAACTTTCTACCTCATTACAGACACCCCTTCCCCTTCCTCTCCATTTTCTTTTATGTGCCCACCTTACCTAAAAAAAATCCAATGTTTAGCCAACCGAGATTAGTTTAGATTGTACGACCCGACCCCGACCAATGGGGAATGTACACAGGAGCGGGACTTGTGTCAGCAATAAAGGCCCTCGTGCCCCTTTGTTCAGGTGTGCTCTCCTGGCGACTGGCCAAGGAGGCACCCCTCTGCACAGAAGTAAAATTGCTTTGCTAAGAATCCTTTGTCCGAGATCAATTTCCTTAGGATTTTGAGTGTTACTCCTAACATTATATTATAAACATATTGGTTTACCTAAATAAATATATAGATTGAATACAAGGTCAAAAATAATTTCTCTGGATATTTTCTTGGAACTGGAAAAAAAATCCCTAATAGTCAAAAGAAAGAATAAATAAGATAGACTACAAAAAAATTCTGGGATGTGCTAGTTCTGCCAGATATTTAAATGTATTGAAAATCAACAATAATAAAGAGCAACGTATCGGCACAAAGGAAAATAAATATTATAATCCCTGTGTGTGTATATGTGGGAATTTTATGTATAACAAACAAAAGAGCTATCAAAAAAAAAACACTCAGAAAAGGGAAGAATTAGTCAATATAATGTTTGCAAAATCAAAGTAATTTAGAAAAAGAAGGAAGACCTATAACTCATACAAATCTAACATGTAAATAAATTTCAGCCGGATTTGGGATTTAAAAAAAATTGACCACAGAAAGTTAAAATGAAACAAAAATGAATATTTAAAAAGTGATAGAAGTAATCACAAAAGATAGGTAATTGATAATATTAAAAGAACAGAAACATCTCTATGTTCTCCAAAATTTTTGTTTAAAAAGCAAAAAAAAAAACAAAACAGGGAAAACATTCTGGAAGTATCCTTATCAGCCACATTGCAGCAAAGTGACATTCTGTTTCCCTTTCTCCCTCCTACTCTCTCTCCTTCCCCCTGTACTGTGTTAGGAAGTGGGACATACATAACTCACCTCCATGCCTTCCTCACCTCTGAATGTGCTAGACCCACAGTACATGCGGAACTGCTGAACTGAATCATTAATTACATTAGTGGCAGAAGGAAAATGGCTATTTACAAAAGATGGAATCCAACTAGAAAACTGACATATGGAAAAAGGTTTCAGCTCCCCAGTGATCAAAGAACCCCAAATTAAAACAACCAGGCATTTCTATTTTTCACCTATGTCATTAACAAAAAGCCAAACAAGATCACAGCCCCATGGCCTTAAGCAACAGGACAGCCAGGTTGTGGCCGCTCCTGCCCCTCACTGGAGTGGGAAGCTGCTTAAGATTTACCGCGATGGTTTCAGCATTTCTATTTCTTTGATTTGCTTATAAAAAACGCAGTAAAACCCAAGTGTAAGCAGCTTGGCGGCCAGAGACCGTGAATGCCCGGTCTTTCTCTAGCAGCAGTTACTGAAAAACCTCCAAGGGCGGTTTTAATTTCCTCTCCTTGTTCATCTGGGGTCTGGTTTCCCAGGCAGCCAAGGTACTGGGTGAACACAGAGAAACCCATCTATCAATTTTGTGGCTGCCATAGCATGGCGATTTTGAATCTTGCAATAAAACAAGATTAATGGGCTTGACTTCAGTGGGTCTGACATTTCAGCGACAAGGGCTGTATTCGCCAGGTTTCTGCACCTCTCTCCTCTTTGTTTCTCAGCCATTTTGTAATCTCAAGCCAGGTCCCTTATGTTCCCTGGGGCTCCTGAGAGAATCATGTAAAAGGGACATGTAGCATGAGCTAGGAAAAGACAAATCACCCTGATCTCCTCTCTTCAAAGACCAGTGGGAATTTCAGTGGGAAATGGGCTCTCACAGCCATGGTGTTGGGATAAAGCATTAGTCATTTAATGGTGTTGGTAATCACTTTATCCATCAACATGCACTTACCGTGCGCCCAGCACTGTACAGCCACCTGGGAGCAGGGAGAAGCAAGACACAGGCATGGTCACAGCACAAGGGAAGCCAGGTGAGTCAGAGCGAGTCAGATGCTGGGGACAGGACTCTCGGAGAAAGTAGGACTTGAGCAGGACTTCAGAAGAAGGGACATTTCTTCAGGGAGGTGAACAACATGGGGAGATGTTCCCAACTGGAGGACGAGAGGTGGCATGCAGAGATGGGTGTGGGAATGCCATGTTATTTCAGGTCACCATGCCTTCCTGCCTGCTGGTTCCTCACCTAAGACTCCAGCTCAGACCCAGCTCAAGATCCATTCCTGGGCTCCCTTCTTCTTCAGAGCCTTCCCTCCCCCTGCCCCAGAGAGAAGCAACTGCCCCTTCTCTATGCCTCATCTGCCCCCGACTTATGTTCCCACTGTTACACTCTACACTGACTTATTACTATTATTTCATTGTTTGGAGTTTTTATTAAATTACTATTTACACTGCCTTATCATTATTATATTTATATGTCTGTCTCCTGTGATAGATATTGCGCTTCCTGCAAGTAGCAGCACAGTGTCTGAAACACAGTAGGTACTCTGAAAATATTTCTTGTACTTAATCAAATTAATGAAAACTAATTGGTATACAAGTGAAGAGGAGCTTGGACAGTGCTGACGGAGAAGGGGAGGAGAGCAGAGCATGAGTAATAGCAGCTAACAGCTCACCTGTGTATGTAGCATTCACGACTGGCCAGGTATTTAAGCACTTTGCATGTATTCATTAATTTCATCTTCACAACACAGCTATGAGAAAGGTGCTGTTAATATCCCCATTTCACAGATGAGAGTGTGTAGGTGGGGAAGTAAAGGAACTCATCTGAGCTCTCTTAGCCAGCTAGGGAGCAGGCGGGGGTGGAGCTGGGCCCTGGAGGCAGTGGGCTGGCTGCGGAGGAGCTCCATGATACCTGATGCCTTGCTGCCCCTTGTCACTACAGGTCACGTGGGCTTAGAATCCTAAAGTCTGAGAGGGAAATCTTGCCCTATTCCCTGTTCAGTATAAGAATGGCCATAACTAAATTTAACAAATGGCTGTATATTTTCTGTTTGTTTAAATTCAAGGTTTATTAGTTAACAAGGCAACCTATGGTTTAAAGTATAACAGAAGAAAACTTAGTTTACAAAAACAAACAAACAAAACAATGGGTTGGGAGCAGTGGCTCATACCTGTAATCCCAGCACTTTGAGAGGCCAAGGCGGGTGGGTCACCTGAGGTCAGGAGTTCGAGACCAGCCTGGCCAACATGATGAAACCCCCATCTCTACTAAAAATACAAAAATTAGCTGGGCATGGTGGTGGCCACCTGTAATCCCAGCTACTCAGGAGGCTGAGGCAGGAGAATCGCTTGAACCCAGGAGGTGGAAGTTGCAGTGAGCTGAGATGGCATTATTGCACTCTAGCCTGGGTGACAAGGGCAAAACGTGAGAGAGAGAGAGAGGAAATGCATGATTTTTATCACTTTGGGATTAATAATAATAATAAGACTATGCTCAGCACTTGCCGTACATGATCTTATTTAGTCCTTCCAGCAACCCTTTGAGACAGGTACTACTATTATCATCTCCATTAAGAAATAAGAAGACTGAGGGTTTGTTACACTAGCAACAACAACAACATAAACTTCCAAGAGCTAGGGAATCATGAAAATTTTTAAAAGAGATGCTGAGATGCTAAAGTTAAGGTTGTACAAAGATATATCTGAAAAACATGAAGAAAAACAGGCGTTGCAATATCAATATCAGCAAAAGTAGACTTCATGGGTAAAACAAAGAGGAAATTGTCATTTTTTGTTGTGAAGTCTAATTTATAAAGGCATGAATATTTAATAAATTGCATTGTTAACAAATAAGATTGCATCAAAATATGTTTTTAAATAGAAAGAAATGAAAGGCATAGCAATGAGAGAGGTCAATACACTTCTTTAAAGCTTCAAAAATGAGGAAGGTATACAATAATAATATAAAAGCCTTAAATAATAAAGTTAGTAAGACAGACTTAACACATTGACATTACAATCTGGGCCCTATAAACCTTACACTTTGTTCTAGTGCCAATTTATGGCCTATATTGGATGACAAAGAAAATTTTAGTTAAAAAATCTCTCCAAAATAGAAACTACATGGACTCATTTTCTAAGTCAAATGAAATTTGTATTTTAAAAATCCAATCACTTGAAAATATGAAAAACAAACAGTATCCTAAATAATTCTAGGGTAAAAGAAAAATTGAAAGAGTAATTATTAAATGGTTACAAAAATGAAAATGAGGAGGCTACATATCAATACCTCTGCAGTAATCAAAAACTGATTTATTGCATTAAGTATATTTATTACCAAATAAAAAAATAAATATAAATTAAGTAAATGACATATATTACAGGCAAAAAATGAAGGAAAAGAGGAGGAAAAATAATGATATAAACAAAAATTAATGATTAGTAAAAAAAAAAGTAAAACTGATAAGTTCATCCAGAGGCTGCTTTTTTCATTAAACCCATAAACTATG